CCATCAGATGCAGTATGATAAAACAGCAAGTTCTCATTGGTTTTCATTACAGTTACCGACGGTAGTTCGGTAAAATTTTGTCCAACGAGCACAGTTGCTGGTAAATATTCATCATCAACCACTAAAACCACTAACTCAGTGTCCACTTCGTCTATTCTGATTTGAACAGTAGAATAAAAATGAGGTCTAGTTACAGAATTGCCAAAACCTCTTATTAATGGAAGGTCCTTAATATTTTCTACGAGATTTAGTTCTTTCGCTTTCGTATGTTTGATTAAAGTACAGTCGCTACCAAAATCCACGTATCCATCAGTCAGTGACCCATTAATGAACGTGCTCTTATAGAATTTACTATCACTATTTAAGGGAGCCAAAGCAAGGTGTGCTTCTTGGCAACGGGAGTTACTATCGTGGGTTTTATTTTTTTTAATATGGTCAGAATCAGAACTAATATTAAGTACATTTTTATGAACAGTCTGTTTATTGTCACTGGTAGTCTCATGAGATGATAAGGGTTTCCTAAAGCATTGCTCTGAATTATGTCCTATTCTACTACATTTTCCGCACTTCGTTACAGGTTTCGGGCAATTTTCATAACGATGTCCTCGTTCACGGCAATTAAAACATGACGATTCAATATTTCTATAAGGGTAATTACTAGAAACTTTAGTTTGATTATTCGTATCACGAAAATCACGTTTTCTAAACGAATTCGATGAATACGTTTTGGAGTTTTCGGTTGACGTTTTCAGCTGTTGGGAACCCAGGTAATTTAATAAATCTTCTGGTTTCTTACACTTGAGTGCTTGTGCACCATTTCTAATTGAACTATCATGAATCCCAAAAATAATACAATCTACGGCCTTTCGGCCTTCTATTTCGCACCTGCTAACTAATGCCAACTTATCATAGAAATAATCTCTAAGAGTCTCATCGTTACGGGACCTACGGCTCAACATCTCTTCTAAAAGTTTTCCGAAGTTCTCTTCACTTGGAAAAGCTTTTCTCATTTTGGATTGCCATTTCTTCCACGAGAAATTGAGCGTTGGTAAAGATTCGTACCACCTTTTTGCCAACCCACAAAGTTTTTGAAGAGCGTAATGAATAGTTTGTTTTTCGTCCCACTCATAGATAATAGCACATTCATTAACTTTTCTCAACCATCGCTCAATATCTTGTGATCTATTGTCAGGATCAAAATCAGGTACAACGTTAGTAGTTGGGTTATTCTTACGTGACCCCTTTTGTACAGCTGCGATAATCTTCAGAACATCATCTGCAGTTAGTCCCTCCGAGGTACGCTTCTCCTTAGCAGGTATCTCTTCGGTATCACTTGATAAAGATCTGCGACGCCGTCTTCTTAGGCGCTCTGGTGTGAAATTTTCAACCTGCTCTGGAGTAAAGCTTCCTTCTTGACCACTTGTTGAGCTCCCAGCTGAAAATTTTTTCAAGCACGTCAAATTCTTTTCGTTACTCTGATGTAAAATGATTCATTCAACTATATCGTTATTATGTCATTATTGAATAATTTGATCCGAACACAATGCCTTCACTAGACATTAACAATCCTCAGCAATAGCACACCTTCATAGTTTCACTACAATGTACATACATGGCTCCACCTCGGCACACACATGGCAAAACTTAAGCACACCTACATGGCTTTATTTCTGCTCACCTACATGGCAAAACTTAAGCACACCTACATGGCTTTATTTCTGCTCACCTACATGGCAAAACTTAAGCACACCTACATGGCTTTATTTCTGCTCACCTACATGGCAAAACTTAAGCACACCTACATGGCTTTATTTCTGCTCACCTACATGGCAAAACTTAAGCACACCTACATGGCTTTATTTCTGCTCACCTACATGGCAAAACTTAAGCACACCTACATGGCTTTATTTCTGCTCACCTACATGGCAAAACTTAAGCACACCTACATGGCTTTATTTCTGCTCACCTACATGGCAAAACTTAAGCACACCTACATGGCTTTATTTCTGCTCACCTACATGGCAAAACTTAAGCACACCTACATGGCTTTATTTCTGCTCACCTACATGGCAAAACTTAAGCACACCTACATGGCTTTATTTCTGCTCACCTACATGGCAAAACTTAAGCACACCTACATGGCTTTATTTCTGCTCACCTACATGGCAAAACTTAAGCACACCTACATGGCTTTATTTCTGCTCACCTACATGGCAAAACTTAAGCACACCTACATGGCTTTATTTCTGCTCACCTATATGGCAAAACTTAAGCACACCTACATGGCTTTATTTCTGCTCACCTACATGGCAAAACTTAAGCACACCTACATGGCTTTATTTCTGCTCACCCACATGGCAAAACTTAAGCACACCTACATGGCTTTATTTCTGCTCACCTACATGGCAAAACTTAAGCACACCTACATGGCTTTATTTCTGCTCACCCACATGGCAAAACTTAAGCACACCTACATGGCTTTATTTCTGCTCACCTACATGGCAAAACTTAAGCACACCTACATGGCTTTATTTCTGCTCACCTACATGGCAAAACTTAAGCACACCTACATGGCTTTATTTCTGCTCACCTACATGGCAAAACTTAAGCACACCTACATGGCTTTATTTCTGCTCACCTACATGGCAAAACTTAAGCACACCTACATGGCTTTATTTCTGCTCACCTACATGGCAAAACTTAAGCACACCTACATGGCTTTATTTCTGCTCACCTACATGGCAAAACTTAAGCACACCTACATGGCTTTATTTCTGCTCACCTACATGGCAAAACTTAAGCACACCTACATGGCTTTATTTCTGCTCACCTACATGGCAAAACTTAAGCACACCTACATGGCTTTATTTCTGCTCACCTACATGGCAAAACTTAAGCACACCTACATGGCTTTATTTCTGCTCACCTACATGGCAAAACTTAAGCACACCTACATGGCTTTATTTCTGCTCACCTACATGGCAAAACTTAAGCACACCTACATGGCTTTATTTCTGCTCACCTACATGGCAAAACTTAAGCACACCTACATGGCTTAATTTCATCACACATACATGGCTTGATCACAGCACACCTACATGGCTTGATCACAACACACATATGTAACATAACTTCAGCACAACTACATGGCAAAACACAAGCACACCTACATGGCTTGATCACAGTAATAATCATAACAAAGAAAAATACTTACAGTTTCGCCGAGACATGGTTGACGGTCTATCCCACTTCTGAATTGTAATAAAAATACCTTCCTTTTCTAATCACCAATTTATTTCTCCTCGATTTCTATTGTTCAGTTTAACAAATATCTCAATCACAATTACAATTATACAACCAGGTAACGTCAGTACAGCTAACTAATACTCAACTGCGCTCCCTTGCGTCCGAACAACGACTGCCTTAATATATTAACATATTCTAATCAAAATGACATTTACCCACTCCACCCAGTATTAACGGCGTTGCGTCATATCCGCCATTTTATAGGTTTTAAATGTAGATATTACAATTACTTAACAATCTCATTATTTTTAATACTTTGATAGAATTACAATACAAAATATATATGCATACTTAATTTCTTTAGTTTTCGTTAAATGTTTTTGAATAATTAGAAGCAATCACAACACAGAGCAGAATTAAATCGTGCAGTTGTTATTCACAGTGCGGAATAACCCTCAGGCTGTATAAAACTATTTATTTGCCGTCAGTGCTATGTTGCGTTGTGTTATAGGAAAACATAGATCATAACGCTTGCTTTTGCCTGAAATAAATCATAGCTACCTCGTTATCGTTAGTACCTAAGCACTAACACAAGCATTCACTGCTGAGGAGAACCTAGATTTGTTTTGGGTTTAGTCAAAATATTAGCTATAGATAATTCATCCCACCACATAAACGGATTCTAACAGTGCGTAGCTGGACTGAGTAAGGTGAAATAGCTAGAATCTTTAAGTAACCATTAAGTTAGATTAGCTCCTGATTAAAGTAGTTGCACTTTAAACACCAGCACATTACAAACATTGCGACATTAATTGTCACACTCTAAACATATCATTTTGTATCCATTGTTTATTCAAATTCACTCAAAGTAAGTAGATACCAATATTATGAATCATAAAATTAGTCATCGCGTAATGTAAACAAATAATATAAAGTAGCTACTCAATAAATGCCTACCTCACATATATACCTACTTACTTACATAGATAGATTTGTTGTTAATGCGATACGCGAAGCACGATTACAAAATAGAAGCTAAAAATAAATGCAACGCTCAATGCTATATGCCGCTTCAACGATAATATAATTTTAGATGGGTACTTATGTATAAATATAACTGCAGAGTAGTTGTTCTACTACCCTTAGATATGATTGGCTGTAGATACAACTTCTTAATTTCGAGTATCTTATCAGCGGTTCCATGGTGTAACGGTTAGCACTCTGGACTCTGAATCCAGCGATCCGAGTTCAAATCTCGGTGGAACCTGCATTTTTATCAAAATACACAATAACTGAAAATGTACTATGCATAGCGGTTTTTCCTGTTTTTTGAGTATTAATTCGTTTTTTCCTTGTAATATTTACGTTGCTGGCACCTATTTTTAAAAATATGAAAATATAATCGATAAGCGAAAATCTAAGTAATTTAATTATTATTAGAGGCCTAATATAAATAGGCAACCAAGAACGTTGAAAACAAAGGCCTACATAATGTCAGTGGGTTATTTAGGTGCGTGTGTAGATAATATTTGGGAATGACAAATGTCCTTCGTGTCAAAGTGTGTATGTTCTGCGTATAAGTCTATAGTAACCAGATGCCACAGTCCTTGTCCCAAGAGACTGTGTCCGCCTTTTTTTATAAACTATGCAGGTACCTAACTGTATCTAGTTTATGTGAAAATTATAGGCAGAAAGAGACAATATTGTTGTATGAAGTCATTTCTCACTTTACACTGCGTTGCCTAGGTAATGATTGAACACAACAATCGGACATTGTCAATGAATAGCAAATACAAAGTTAAACGTCTAAAAATATTTGTTTTGTATCTGTAATCAGTTGCTTTTATTGTCTTGTGGTGCATGGAACAGAAGCCCAATTTATTTTACTACAATGCAACCAAACAAACTGAAGATATTAATGATTGGACCATCAGAGGTACCTAATAACTTCCTTCCAATAATATCACTGAGTTATCTTGACACCCAGGCACTTATGTACTTTCTTATCGTTCTGATTTGTCATGTATCACTTACATAAAGTGCTCATGTCATGTGTATAATAGGTAGGTACCTACTTAGTAGTTTTCTATAGATAGGTACTATGAACTTTGGTACTTTGGCCCTGATACCCACGTGAATATTCTCTCGTCGTTGTAAGTACCTTCATAATAAAGAACTCTTTATTTTAGAGTGGAAAATCAAGAATAGCCAACTTTATCTCAGATTCAATCAACATCGATGAAGTCGAAACTCCTCGACCCACCCAAGGAGTTCGGATTGTGGAATTTGAACTTCCCAATCTGAATATAAACGGGAAACCCACAAGTACTGATATAGAACTTTGGGACTGCAGCGGTGACCACAGGTAAAATAGATTATCTAATCAGATATGATTCGACGTGCAGGAAAAGGAACGGAGTGGTTTTTAATCAGTAAGAGTCTGAAACTCTCTCCCGCCTCACTCAGGCGGAAGAAGACGTTCGATGTTTTCCCCCCTAAAAAAAAAAGTAAAGTTGTTTACATCAGACTAGCATCTTCGCAAGTTACAAATAGCGCCATCCATCGAAGGAAAGCTTCAACATTTACCTTGTAAACAGATTAACAGGTATTTATACACCCACTTATGTAGAACCAAGGTACCTATGTATGTGTGTTGTTTATATTATTATGTAAAACTAAACTGGTAGTTCGTTCCTTTCACTTATTCGCGACTAGTTTTTGAATATTGACTGCCCACTTATTAGTCTTAGTTTATTTTCTTAGATTTGAATCATGCTGGCCAGCACTGAGACTCGGAGTTCAGGGAGTCATCCTGGTGTGTGCCCCTAATACTGCGCAAGTAGCAGCAAGAGAGATGGAACTTTTATATAACTACTTCGTCTCACAACCAAAGCTATCTACCAAACAATGCGTTATGTTTTACAACTGCACTGATGAACAAGAAGACATGGACTCTTTGAATCTTTGTAAGTTTATATTATAATCAAAGATAAAAACCCAAATGCCTAATCTTCTATTTTAATGTGTTGTTCACTTCTTTCAGCTCCAACGTTTTCGAAAGTTTCTCAAGTGGCAATTAATTTAAAAACTGGTGGCAGCCGTTTAAAAATAGATTTCGCCAGCTTCATTACCTCAGTTCTACAAATGATAAATAAAGACAATTCTTAACTTTATCTCATCGTCGACTTTGATTTCTCTCGTGCATACTTACGTCATCCCAACATTCGCTGATGATAAGAAAACTAGAATACATCAAATTCATTATTCATTTATTCTGGTTCTCTAAATGCATAAGGGGGAAGACACCAATCAGGCATACACGGGCTTTCTGAAAATTGTACACTCATTGTACACTCATTTTGCAATTTATTACAAGTATACTTACACCGTTCAGCGTTTTCTGAAACATTAAACCAAAGCAGCACCACAGTACTAATATTATGGCACCATGTCATTTAACTCGTCGAGTACCGTCATTATAGACACAATTATAGAACAATAGGTTGCGGTCACCGGTGACCGCTTGGTGTTTGACAGTTTAAATGGAATGTTCAAAGAAAATTGTTTCAAAATTACTTTATCATTGATTGAGAATAATATTCTTTGAGGCTATTAGGATTAAAATTTAAATAAATGAGGTCAAATTTCACATGTCTGCGTTATCTCTTCAACATTTACCTACACCTATTAAACTAAAAAACAAAAACTTATTATAAAACTGCGTTTAAAAAACCCACTTAAAAAATCATAAACTAAAAACTTAAAACTAAAACCCTGTAAAACCCAATTAATAACTATTATTCATTGTACTGCCTACCCACTGATAGTTTAGAAGGTGGTGCCACAAGCCCGTACCAAAATATAACTTACCACTACTATACCCATATTACGTACATAATAGGGTAGTTTCCTAAATTTCATTTTAATGTCCGTCATGTTTATTTTAATGTCCGTCTATTTTAAAACAACATTGGATACGTATTTTTTTGTCTTACAAAATTAAATACTTGCGACGATATATTGATTTGTGTTCGTGAGTGTGACGTCACCATTTACTCCTAAACTTAATTCCATTTTTTCGACTGCACGGTTGGTGCGGTGGCTGGGCAACCGGCTGCCGTGCAACGTGTCGCGGGTTCGATTCCCGCACGGAACAACACTTTGTGTGATCCACAAATTGTTCTTTCGGGGCTGGGTGTCATATTGTGTATGTGAACTTGTATGTTTGTAAACGCACCCACGACACAGGAGAAAATCCTAGTGTGGGGCAACGTTTTAAAAAAAAAAATTATCTACGTATTTTTTTCTTATACGACAAAATAAAAAAAAATGTGTCCAATATTTTTTCATTATCTAACTAACCAACCGACTAATTACATTTTTAATTGTCATACACTGACTACTGCCCTATTGTACATACGTATAGTCTACTTAGGTTTAAATGTAATTTTGTTTTTTTACTTGTTGTATAAAACGTAATTGAAGAATCGTAACCCATTAAATATTACTAATAACATATTACAGTACCTATTTATGCCTTCACGATAAGTAAGAAAAGCTAGTATTATACGTGGCTAAGTACGATTTATGATAAGTTTAAATATTTTGGAGACTTTTTTATAACTTATGAAAAATATTAGATTACTTTTTGACAGTAGGTAAATAGATTTTGCATCGTATATCGTATAAAAAACTGCAATTTTAAAGATCTGGAGTCCCCGATCAAAAAGAGCGATGACTTTCACACGTTTTAAAATATACAACTGCTACAATTATATACGACCACAAATGTGCAGTCTAGATGATCGTTAGCCAGATAGTACTCTAAAATATAAAGATATTTTTTCGAAAATTATTGTATTAATACATAATATTAATACATAAATAAATAAAAATAGATTTATTATAAAGGTATAAAAATTAAGACATTGATAAAATATTTATAAACATGAATTTATTTTAAACTTGAGTAGGCCCGTCTCTATGATTTGAATACAATATTAACCTACAAAATTAACATTTCAACAATGTAGAGGTATTTTTTTGCTTAATATTGCTTTGCCATACGTCCGAGCATAGTATATTCCACCACACTAGTAATACAAAACTTAGTTTTTGTTGATTGTTAGAATCGAAATTATAATGTATAATGCTTAATGAAAAAAAACATATAAATCTCGACGCACGCACTCAGTCTTAAAACATTTGGCTCTTATATGAGTAATAATATTCATTATTAATTTAATAAACTTAATTCAGTATTTAATAAAATTATTTTACATAATGATACTGAAATTGATCAATTACACTACATAAAACGTATTTACAATACATTAAAGGGACCTTTCACATTAAGCTTTATATGTAACCTATACCTATAAACTACTAAAATACAACGTACCTATATAAGTCTGTCATTAATAATATTATCACCTCAATCACATTTTGCTGCATGTGGAAGGAGTTTTCTAAATTAAATTAAATAATTTATTACGTTAACTTTATGATAAAGACAATCGAAATGTACATAACACCTAATTTCTATCATTCTTCCAATTACCACGATCATTGAAATTTTTCCGATCTCTATGCCCTCTACCAGAACCTCCGCGATTCCATCGGTCGTTACCTCGTCCACGGTGGCCTCCACGATTAGGAAACCGTGGATAATTTTGATCACCATCCATAAAATTAAAATCATTACCAGGGCCTGGACCATTATATGGCATATTTCCAAAATTATTAGGTGCACCAAACTTATTAAAATTATGCGGCATGTTCGGCGCTATCCCTAGTAATCCAGGCGTGGGGCCAGCCCGAGGATCCTGCATGGATTGATTGTAGCCATGCATATTACCTAAATTCATACCTGCCATTCCCATGGACGACATATTCATCATATTCATGTTACCGCCATCCATTGAACCCGGCGGGCCGGCCATGTTGCTGTTCATACCAAATGCCGTTTGATTAAAATTAATAGGAGTTTTTAGTAGGGCTTCTTTAGGTTTTGGTAAATAGGAATACTCGCCATTTTCATTTAAAGTGATACCCAAATTCGTAAATATACTACACAACATACTATTACCTTGTATGGGTGCTAGATCGAATTTCTTCCCGGGTAACCTTTCCTGTTGAAACTGTTTAATCATTTGCGTTACTGGTGCTAGGTTTTGGTTCACAAATATTTTTTGTGTAGAGCTGAGTTCTTTATACCAGTTGGAATTTTGGAGTATCGTTTGCAAATCTAAAGAATTAGTCTTTTGATCCTGAAGAACGGTTTCAGCAACATCTTTGGGTTTTCTTCGTGGGTCAACTCGAGGTCCGCTAGGGGTTGCAGCAGTTGATGGTTTATTTGATTTTTCACTATCACTATTAGATTCGTCAAGGGATAATCTAAAAACTTTTCGTAGTCTAGGATCCACTAATGCTTGAGATTTAGCTGTACTATTTCTGATATCGGTGTAGTCTGGCCGTGGTACATAGATTGGTACTACTTTATAAGGTATTGGTGGATGGCTGTTAATTGACCCATTTATTTCTGAAGCAGGCGTGTAATTAGGAAGAGGCTTAAAAGGTAAACCAAAACGAAAATCGATATCTCCACTAGTTTGACGCAAATCGGTATCGCCAAACGCAGGAAGATTAAAGTCAGATTTCCGTAAATCAACATCAGTTCTACGTCGCCCGTCGGTCGGCTCGCCATCAATACATTCATAAATTGATATTCTAGGCTTTCTTGTAGTGGTCTTATTAGATTCAGTTATTTTTTCCGGTGATCGTCTAGCTCGTGGATCTCGTGGTCTACTTTGGCTCGGTGACGCTGCGCCCTCTAAGCTATTTTCAACCTTATTTTCTTGTAGATTATTTTTCATGGTATTTAATAATTTTGTAACTTCTTCACTAATAGCAATCTTGGAAAGATCACCTAATTTACTTAATACAGTTGATGGCTCTATAACCGGCGGTGTGGATGCCTGTGGAGATGGGGATTTTAGTTTCGGGGAAGAAATTGGAGACTTCTTTTTAGTTGCTTTTTCCTCATCACTTGAATACCATTTCTCATCTATTAACAAATTGTTGTCTTCATCATCTGTAGTTGAACGACGATGTCTTTTCTCAGGATTTTTAAACAGTGGTTCTGGCTGAAGAAATCTTATATCTGTATCACATTCTTTCCTAACATCGTCTACATTAGAATGCAAAATTCTTGGGCCATCATCGGAAAACGGAAGAACTCTGTGATCTACGTCTTTCGATTCGTTGGAAATCACTGGTTTTTCAGATTCATATGATTCATTTGAAATATCGATATTTTCTTTGTCTTTGGACGCAAACTTCAGTGCATCTTTTGTGTATTGGTCAATATCGATCATATCTTTACTGGTTTGCGATTCTTTTTGAGTAACGTTACTCGAAGTAGTATCTTCGTGTGTTGGAAGCATAACAGGTGGTTGGAATCGCATGTCAACGTCTTTTCCTGGTAAATCAGAGGGCACTGTTGTAGTATTAGATACAGGTATCGGTACAGGTGGCACCCTTAAATCTAAATCCTTCGTACCAGTGGTTTGAGGTATAAATTGCGGAGCTGCGTCATTATTTGTATTAATTAGTCCTAACTTTTGAATATTCATTGTATTCAATTGGATTTCTGTTATTTGTTTCAATGATAAACCTATGCTATTTAGTTGTAATACGGTTAATTGGCCAAGTTGATCTAAATTTTCAATGCCCATTTTTGTGAGATCTAAAATTTGACGAGGTGTCAAAACTCCAGTCAAATTCTTGATACTTAGTACATTCGTTGAATTTGTATTACTATTTGGCGAAGAGCTCATATTAAAATTCTGATTATTAGACATGTCATTTTGCCATCTCGACTGTCGTATTTTTGGAGAATTTTTATTTTGCCTCTCATTCATAAAATGGTTACCTTGTAATGATTCTCCAGCGGCTTGTGGATTCGGTATGTTTAATTCAAACAGAGATGGGATATTTTTGTCAGTGTTATCAGTAGTGTCAGAATATTGCTGCATTAACTTTGACTGAGTATTTTGCAACATTTTTAAAGCTCCCTCTCTGTTAAGGCGCGGAAAATCTCCTAATATTTCTTTAGGAGCTGATTCTATATGTTTTAAAAGTATATTTTTTAAACTTTCTGTTAAGGGTTTACCATGCGCGAATTTACATTCATCTTTGTATATACACGGAAGCCCAGTATGATAATATTTACACGGAAAATCAGCGTGCATGTACAGACACTTGTCTCTTTTTGCACAACAATCCATTAGGTAAAACTTGCACAGTTCCATTTTTCTCGGAGGCTGTGCATCATGTGAATAAATGCAGTCATCGCCTTTATGACATTTACCTTGCATATAGTATAAACAGACACCATCGGGATCTTGCATTGGATGAGTGCCTCGTCTTCTGTCATTTTTATTGTTTTTATTACGTTCTCGTTGTCTGTTATGTCTTTGTTGTCGTTGGTGCTGCTGTCCTCTAGACTCCTGACTACTATCAGATGCACATGAATCTCTATCATCATCATATATATCAACAGGCGACTGTCTATGCACTGGAGAAGCGCCCCTTACACACATCATTTCGCTTTCATCCATATCATCTGAATAATCTTGCTTTTTACGCTTTTTACTCGATCCATCTTTGCTATCATACTTCTTACGTTTTTTGTGTTTACGACGTTCATCAACGTCATCCTCGTTATTTGCGTCCATGCTTTCCATTTTGTTCATGGCCTTCCTAATAGCTTTCTCAATATTACCAGCGAAATCATCTTCAGTGGGACTAGAATATTTACGACTTTTTTTACCTTTGTCCTTTACCTTCTGTTCCTTATTAGATTTGGATTTCTTTTTCTTACCTGATTTTGAATAATAAAAATCCTGGGAATCAGATTTTTCCGATGATATTTTATCTTCAATAGTTGGTACAGTTTCTGCACCTTTTCCTTCAGATGCGACTTCTGTTGTTTCTTCGCCTTCGCTCTCTATCTCGCCATCCTCCAAGTCTTCCATCTCAGCATTCGCCACAGCGTCCGTCATCATGAAAGTGTCACTGAAATGGTACAAAGTGATAATATTAATAATTGCGATTTACAACATTTCTTATACGCAGAAAATATAATTAAGTTGCGTATAAGAAATATATCTATTGGAAATTCTATTATGTTACAATCTATATTTTACTATCACTTCGTAATAGAACCAGTACATATTTCATCTTTTGTGTAGAAAATGTTCAAAGTAACTCGAAGATAGCAAGAGACTATATTGACTTAATTATACGAAACATGTGCAGCTTCCCTTTGTAACCCTTTGTTCCCTTTGTACTAAACAGTGATAAAGACAACAACTTATAGGAAATTTAATTGTCTAAAGGCCAATTTTGTTTTTTCCGTGACTCTAAAATACGCTATTAAAATTTGTTACTTAGGATCAAAATAGATGGCGCTGTTTAACAAATAATTACCAAGTATTTTCTTAACAGTGTGTAAATACTATAATACTTCTACGTTGCATTAATAAATTTGTTGAATTACTCAATCCATCAGCAAAACAGCTTTCGACTTTACATGAAAGTTAAAAACTTCTTCACATGTAAATTTGAGCTGTAATTTTCTTATAAAAGTGGTTAAAATTTAAATACCAAGATACCTATTTTAAATATTAATGTTTGAAATACCTAAATAGAATCAAAAACTTGCACAATATTATCACTATCGCGGGGCTTGTAATCATTTAGCTAATAAAAGTAATGACTAGACAAAGGAATGTAGTAATTATCGTCCAAACAAACACAACATTATCATAGTGCCAGTTTTTAGTGGCGTTGTGTTACGATTATGGTTTCAGTTTTTCATTATCTAATTTGCGTTATCTTTGTTAAAAATGAGCAAAACGATAATGATTAAATAAATGCGTCATGGTCTAATCCAAATTGCTTGCGTTCCTGCCGTAATAAATTTGTATTCTTAGCATGCCGCCGCGATAACTTACAGACTTCTTAAGAAGTGAGAAAGAGATAGCAACAATGTTAAGAATACTGCGATAAAAATATGTGAATGAAACGGCAAACACGTCATGCAAAGAAATCTACATAGTCATACTCGCCATTTTTACAGTATAACACGACCAAATTAGAAAGACATACAGCTATATATTTTAGACAAAATTAACAATGGAAAGTCACAGATTTTATAAAATATAGCCCTATGCTCTCGGAAAAACGTTACCTAGTTCAACAGAACTGAAATACAAACTAGATATCTAAAACTCACACCAAGACATCACATAGCACGTTTTAATGTATATCTAACACGCCCTTTGTGACTGTGCAAAGAAAATTTAGAATGAAAATGTTCAGCAAATAATTTGAATCGGAATAAGTGTAATAATTTTCTAGTCATTGAGAATAAATCTCGTTTTCTTTCAAATACTATACCTAATATTCGTCGGAACAATAAGCATTGGGAATGTATCTCCAGGTATCACAAAATTACTTAGATGTTGCGCAGTTTGAAATTCAACATGTATGGCAGAAGTCAGTACAATAACTGTTCTTAAGCCACGACTTTCAATAAATTTAGGTAGATACAGCCAAGCAAAGCAAGCAGTGGGTGGCCGTTCACATTTCACAATATCTAGCTGCGCGCTGCGCTCTCGCTACGATTTGAATGACGTCAGCCTTCTAGAACGGCGAGATATCTGTCCTTCCTTTCATCGAGGTCACGAGGCGTATAACGCTCACACACACTAGCACAAAATATCAAAGTGGTCGATATCTATACGTGTAAAAATGGCGTGTAACCTACTTATCACTACCTAACGACAATCTTAATTTAGCAGTATTATAATAATGCAAAAATTATCTAGGTACAACGCAAAAATTTAAGAGAACACGTCGTGCTAAAAATAAATTTATAGAAAACAATTAGTTAATTACCGACACCAAATTAGCCCCTTTTACGGCATAATTACATGAGTTTATATAAGTACACAATTTACAAGTTGATTTTGCAAATAAAAATAAAAATGGACAGTAATAATATCATGCACAAAATAAATAGCTCCGATTAAAATATTCGGAATTTTGTTTATACAGTGTACGAGCATGGCTGCCAAGCAAGACTTATCGCTTTGTTACAGCCGCCATTTTTTAACCAGGCAGTAAATAATAGATCGAATGATACGATTACCGATTTGCAAATATTATGCATTTTATCCTTCGTAACGCGATTTAAACGGTTATTTGTGTAACGTAGATGGATATTGCACGTGTAAGGTAATTTTCTCAAGCTGACCAAGCACTTCATGTAAAAGGGGACACGCATTCATAAAAATGGCCTATTGAGTAAATAATATTAATTGTTACCAATCTTACATTAATGAACGAATCACTAAAAGCGACTACTATACGCCATGTAAAATGTAAATTTCTCGGTCATGTCCTGCATAAAGACGTAACAATTCGAGTACGTTATATTGATATCGAACGACGACTGTAGCAGAACATTGCGTTGATCAAAAAATTTTAGTTTTCATTTTTATCGTACCGGATCAGGAAGCGCTAGTGTTATTGTACCATTACGCCCTCTGGTTGGCCAAATTAGCATACGACTTCCGTTCAATTATAGTCATTTATAATTAATATTGAATTAAGTTAATATATTAATTTTTGATACTTTATGAAAAAATATGTCAGAATTATATTGTTAGTAAAACATCGTTTTTTAGTATTGAAGGCCACATTATTTCATAAATATTTATAAAAAGTTACTAAACCGACTACACCAGTGTTGCTAACCAAAACAATATAAGTTGATTTCTTGCCAAGTAAAAAATTAAACAATATGAACAAACTTTTCAATAAAAATAAAAATTAATTAAAATTGCATTTCAAGTTGTATTTTTATAATTTTTTTAACAAAACTAAACATATTAAATACAAAATTATATTTAATAAGTTAATTTTTTTCAATAATAGAAACCACATTTCAAAACAGAATGTAAATGTCATCATGATCATCGAAATCGTAATGTCATTTTTATTATCAATTTTGTGATAAGTCAGCGTTTCACGAAAATACGAATTTTTACTTTTAATCTTCTCCAAAATTGTTTTAGAACATATACTCAGTTCTGTACGAACAAAATGTCATTAGACTATGTATGTGATTGTGTATTAATCAAATTTTAATAAATAACTTGTATTGTTGTTACTCGTCAAGTTTCGAATATTTTTTGAGGATGTCCGAGCCAAATAATCCATTTGCTGGATTGTTAGGTGCTTCTGAAGTGTCTTCAACTGCTATTGAATCACCTCATGTTGAGGATAACGCAGCATTTTCGAATAATTCCAAAGTAACACCAGCCGACGAGGACACTGACACAGTAAATAACATTGCTGAAAACGTTTTCCACTTTACGATTAATCCTAATGCTGGGCAAGGATATCCAGTGGGAGACAGACAATTAGTTTTCTTGGAGGAATTGGCACAAGCCACTAAGCCACAAGTGTATTTAGATTTGGAAGCCTTGGAGCAAGCATTGTTTGAACGCTTGCTTCTTCCAAATATTGAACAATGTGTTATACCAAAAGGGAGCTCAGTTTTCAAAGAGCATGTTGTGCAGAAGCAAGTTTTCCAATATTTGTTCAGTTCAATTCAGAATCTTCAAAGTTATGAGCATGTAAATACTCCAGTTGTGAAAAATGCTATTCAACGCATGAAGGAGCTTATATTAAGGAATGCAGTGACCGCGCTGAAGCAGCCAGCATTGTTTGAAGGACAAGATTTTACTATACAACTTTTAGAACTTTTAAAGCATGTAGACCCACAGAGTCACACATTTTTCATAGATGTTGTAAAAGCTTTTATGGCAGATGGTAAGTAATTAAATACTGATGTTCTTTTCTTCTCCTTTGTTTGTTATTGTTACGTGTATGCTCTTAATATGGAATGCCTTTCCAAACATCAAGTAAAATAAAAAAGTCTTTATTCATTTACACATATATTTACTTGTAAACATAATTTATAAGTACTACAGAACAACCTCAACTTTCATTGAACAGTTCTCCATTTACCCAAAGGTTGCCTGGTAGAGATTGCTTTTAGTGATAAGGCCGCCTTTCTTTTTATAATGTTACGTGTATATTTCATTGATTTAAGGTGTACAATAATGGTTATTATTATTATTCATTATAATATATTAGTCATAGTGCAGATAAACATCTTAATTTAAAAACAGAGATCTCAGCAAGTTTGAATGAAAAAAAATGATCAGTGGTTTACTAATTTGGCACAGAAATAACAATTCTGTTGTTGAAACAGTATTTACATCTTAGGTGCCATATCTTTTTAGATGCTTTAGTAAATAAAAAATAACTTCACTGCACTTATATTGCTTCTTTATTTATCATAATAATTTACGATCATTCACAACTTTTACAAACAGTCTTTAATGTTTGTTAGTCCAGAGAAACCGGAATAAATTGTATCAATATGTATTGTAATATATTTAAAATGTATTTTTCTATTTACAGGTGACCCAAGCTCCCAGGAACAGTTGAGAGATGTCATGATACTAGTATTAAAAAGGATCCATGTCGATGTGAATAAATCTAATCTAATAAATTTACCTATTTATGTTCTGCCGTCTATACAACTTTTTGCTAGTAAGTTGTTTTTTTATATGATGGGCTGATGTTTGGATCACCTCACCTGGTGTTTTGTACTTACTTTTAGTTTTGTTTTGTATTTTGTAGATCTTATTCATAACATGATCTCCTTTTTTAAATAATTTACTTTTAAACTGTCAAACACCAAGCGGCCACTGGTGACCGCAACCTATCGTTCTATAATTGTGTCTATAATGACGGTACTCACCAAGTAATTGACTGGTTAATTAAATATCATTTTATTTGATTTTTCTACTAAATTACTTAAAACATTAACCTAATAACATTGAGTGCATGGAAAACTTTTCAAAAATCTTCTAATTTTCATTTTAGGCAACCAATGGCTGGCACCTATTCTACTGGAGGCGATCGAACCTAGAAATGAGACCAATGGTAGGTTCTACCAGGATTCTGTGGTTGGAGCGCTGCTGTCACTTTCAGTTCTTCCCAGAAACACATCAGCGAGAAGTGACTTCTTTGATAATCCGGTAGATCAGGTAAAGTTAAATGGTTTCATTATTGATTTTGATTTGTATGGCATTAGGAATTAATACAATAAAACAAAATAATAATACAATTTTAGTAATTTAATATTTTGTTATAATTATGCTCTTTATGTTATCAATATAAAAAGATTCTCTAGTGAATTAATCTATAAAAAATTACTTATTAATGTAAACATATTATATCAAATTGCAGGCTGCAGCGTCGATGATAGAAACATCAGTTTGGAATGCCTCATCACACCTTACAAACAACTTACATAGGATATTCCTAACAATCCTCAAGAGTGGACCACATCTAAGAAACCGCCTATTAACATGGATTGGCAAATGTTTGAAGTCAAATGTTGGTAGAGGGAAACTATGGAATGTCCAGGTATTTACATCCTTATTCCTAATTATAAAAGAAAAGCTCCCTTTCTCGTTGGCCTACATAAATAAGATAAACTCAAAAACACCATATGGGTGTTTGTATGGTTTCTACCAATAGATAGTGTGATTGCTGAGAAAGGTTTTGTGGAAATCTAGTTTAAAAATAAGAACACTTAAATCTCGTCATTGTTGTATTCATTCCCATGGCCATGTATTTTGTTCAAACCTCTTTGTTAAGATATCCTTTTTGGCATCTGTTCAACATACTTTGGTATTACTTGCATAATTTCATTTCCCTGAATAAAGAAACTGCCTCATTGGTTGAGTGGTACTTCCCAGCAAAGTAAGGACTTTGCACCTTTTGGTACTAGTCTCTGCCTACCCCCATGGGAGACAGGCGTATGTTTGTATGTAATGTTAGTTACTTAATGCCGGAATACTGAAACGTTACTCAATTTTAAGTCGTGCTCAAATATCGTGCCATCTCTGTCATTTTACAAAGAATTTATGGAGACAGAACTATCATTAAGCTTGACTTAAAATTGAGTAGCGTTTGAGTATTCCGGCATAAGACTGGCTGATTGTTGGCAAAATTTTATTTAGTTTTCAATCAATAACTTAACTAACTAAAACTAAACTTAACGAAATTAAATTGTATTCACATCACACTCCATCCTTCCTTTTTAGAAATTAAAAGATGAGATATTTCATTGTAAATATTATTTCATTTTATTTACATTTCAGCATGGAGAAGCGAGCACGACATCTTTAACCACAGTGTCAGATGGTTTTATGCTAAACTTAGGATCAGTGTTACTGCACTTGTGCCAACCATTCTGCAATTCTGCTGATGACCCAAAGGCACTCAAGATTGATCCTACTTA